AATTCGTTTTCTATTCTATTGACTTTGTTATTCAACGTGCCAATAATTTCATCATGTTTTTTTCTGGTTTTCAAGTATTGTAGTCAATATACCCATAATTTGACTATCGTTTTGTGTATTATCACTATCGGCTTTGTTATGGACATCGGCCACAACTTTCATAGATTTTTTCGTTCCGCTGGACCTTGTACTTGTAGCACTTACCGTAGTACCAACAGAACTTCCGTGTTTCTTAGTTTTTGTTCTCTGAACCTCAGTTTTATTCTTTTTGGTAACCTCGTTACCCTTGAATGTTTCGTCTGTTGTCTTTTCTGTATCTATTTCTTCCTCAAAGCTAGTAGTGCTACGTAATTGTTTCTTTTGAATCATTTGTTCCGCCATTTTTACTACTTTATCATAAAGAAATCGTAACACCGCTTTATGGTAGTCGTAAAAACAAAACTCCTCGAGTTTTGTAAACTAATAAACGTGTCTAAAAATTTCCAGTAACAATACCAAGTAATTACAAAATATGAGTTAACCACGTTAACCCAGACACGAACTGAAGTTGCTAAAGGAAAGACCACGTCCTTCCCTACTCATAACTCGTACCACACTGAGGTTGCACATGCGTACTACTATCTCACATAATTCCGGAAGTAATTATGACGAAATAGAATTATTGGGGGGGGGGGGCACGGCCCCGTGCCCCCCCCCCCCGGCCATGGCAATGGAAACAGAGGGAATATAAAGATTTTAAATTTCCTTTTCTCAAGAACTGCGCAGCCATTTTTATTTTTCTTTAATTGCTCTAATAAACTTTGTCGGGGTCAATTGCTGTTAAGGGTCTCGAAGAGTGTTTCTTTGGTCACGGAGAATCACCAATAAAACTTCGAGTTAATGCCCACCGTCTCAAATAGGTTCTGCCAGCAAGTCACATGTCACACCTCCCCGTTTTTTTTTTTTTGTTTTTGTTTTTTTTTTTTTTTTTGTTTATTTGTTTTTTGTTTTTTTTTTTTTTGTTTTTTTTTTGTTTGTTTTTTGCTTGTTAAGTTTTTTTCAGGTAAGTTGAAATGTAGAATTTTTGAATTGGCGACCATTGCAATCAGGCCCGTAGGAAGCAATTTCAGTTTGGGGGGCACAGCCATATATTTTCAGTTGAGGGGGCACTATCAACCAAAAATTCCTTGACAAGCAAAAAAAAAAAAGAAAAAAGAAAGAAAAAGGTAATCAGACGTTTTCATTGAGGGGGCACAAGCATAAAGTAGCAATGTTTTCTACAGTAATGTATATGTCGGCAAAATTATTTGGGGGCACGGCCCCGTGCCCCCCCCCCCGCCCCCCGGTTCCTACGGCCATGGCAATGGAAACAGAGGGAATATAAAGATTTTAAATTTCCTTTTCTCAAGAACCGCGCAGCCATTTTTATTTTTTTTTTTTAATTGCTCTAATAAACTTTGTTGGCGTCAATTGCTGGTAAGGGTCTCGAGGGGTGTTTCTTTGGTCACGGAGAATCACCAATAAAACTTCGAGTTAATGCCCACCGTCTCAAATAGGTTCTGCCAGCAAGTCACATGTCACACTTCCCAGTTTTGGTGACCCTGGAAATGCTTTAGCAGCTGAGTGACAATGGCGAAAGGCGAGTCTCTGGCGCCTTCAAATAACCAGAACATGTGACCTAAGGGAAGGAAAACCCTGACAGAAAACCACTGGTCCTCCGAGTCCAGGTGGTTTTGCTCAGGGTCAGCAACCTTGACATGTAAAAAATCAACAGCTACAGAAACCAAAGCCGAGGATAATTGTACCAAGGGAGGGATGGAAACTATTCAGGAAACTGAACACATGAAGGATAGCAGTCAAACCCAGCAGGAAACTGACACCCAGATAGTCAACATTCTCCACCCTAAAGAAGTATGTAGAGTTGGTTGCTGGAATGTCAGCACCCTCTACCAGACAGGAAAACTCGCTCAAGTCTTAAAGGAAATGGAACAGGGATGGACTTGGGGCAAGGTACAGCAGATGTCAGCGGACAGACAGAGATGGAGGTCCTCGGTGCAGGCTTATGTGCTCAAAGCACGAAGAGGATTAAGTAAGTAAGTAATAAACTTTGTCACTATTGCCATAACAAAAAAAGTGGGATTTTCAAAATCTTATTTTTCTAATCTAAAGGTATTCAAACTGCATACAAGTAATATTCATTATATTGATGTGTAAATGTTTCCCGAAATTTCTTGACTTTTTAAACTGACTTCCGACGCCATGGAAACAACACTGGATAAATAAATTTTGCAAACTTTTAAAAATAGTATTTTTTTTTATTCCGATTTCACCTCGGGTATTGTATCGTCGGGGTCTGTTGGGGTGACATGCACTTTCGCTTGCAATTAGCAAAATTCTAGTTGGATTTTTGATCTCTTTGACAGGTAAAAACACCTTTTCAAGCCCTTTGAAGACAAGATTTTGTGTCCGTGCATTTTTTTTTATCTCATTAATTCAGGAAAGTTCTTTCTTGAGAACTGTTATCTCAAGCAGGCTAAAATTTAGATCGGTCCTCCTTGTTTTAACGTTAACCAATGACCTTTAATATATATGGTGAAAATATTTTTCGTAAGAATTTTTTTCCAGAATTCAGGTGAAAAATGACCACAACTCGATTTTTCTAGTAATTGTGAATAATTTCAACAAAGCCAAATTGGTTTATGTCAGCACCATTACCTTTTCACAAATGTCAGTATTTTTATTAATACCATTGACAGGCCCTTAGAACGGAGGGGGGTGAGATGGCAGGGGGGCGACCCCACTTTTTCTGGGTATAGTATTTTGGTATAGTTTAAATGCTGTTTTTTTTGTTTGTTTTTTTTTGCTTGTCAGATTATTTTTAGAAGTTGCCCCCCCCCCCCTTTGTGGTCAGTTTAGGTTTTTTTCCAAGTTTTCCTTTGGCTCAGGCGAGCTAAAATGTAAACGTGTAACGCTTGATGTCGAATGTTACGTTGCTTTCCGTTCCCGTCCGTCTTCTTCCGGTTGAGAAACTTGTAAACAATTTCAGTTTCTTTTGAAATGTTGTCTCTAAGAACATTTCAATTAAATTAAACATAAAAGTTCTGGTTTATTGGGTTCTTGGAGATATTTTAAAGAACATATGGATACTCACTCAGCAATTAGCAATTAGTGTTTCATGCATTTATTGTATGTTCCAATGTTAATGGGCTTTCATAAACCAAAATAACTAGAATTTTTCAATAACAAAGAAACATAAGAATTTCTCGTTGAAGAAAAGGGGGAATTTCGTAATTTATGTTTCTGCCAATTAATTGTATCATAGCAATAGGAGGAACTTATACATTTTACACATACAGATCTACAAAATCTACAAATTACACTGAAATACATTTGATACTGTTCTCCAGTAGCTTATATTTTCTTTGCTTTCCTCTTTATTTCATTTCGATAGAAAAAACACGAAATCCTTTGAAATTGTGAAAGTTGTCAAAAGTTAATTAGTTTTCTTTTGAAATACCCCACGAGGAATTCTGTTATAGATTATACGATTAACAGAAATGTATACTCTTTTAAAAGGTCGAGAAAAAATCATTATAGATTTATTTCAGACAGTATTTGAAAAGAAACAGAATTAGAAATGCGATACTAATTAGAAATGCAACACCAATTAGAAATGCGACACCCTTGAAGCTAAAACTTGCTGTTCTTTTAGTAAATAAAGAAGATAAATATCCATTTTCAAGAATCATTTTATTCCCAAGTTGATATCTGTGTAAAATTCCTCCAAAACAGAAAGAGAATAAAATTAATCTTAAAGAGTTAAATTTGTTGCACAATGTCATCAATTAATGACCGTGAAATAATGATTTTTTAAGATGTAGGCAGAACTTACAGATTTTATCCCCTTGTGACTCGGTGCCTTGCAACTGTTTAATTGAAAAAGGAGATTTCCTACCCGGATTAGAAATACATGTGTTAAATTAAAGTTTCAGAATTCAGAGAATTTAAAACTAGCTATAACAATCTAGATTGTTATAGTTAGTTTTAAATTCTTTAAGAGAAGGCATAGAGAAAGGAAATTTTGTAATTTAGAAATTAACTACTCTTGAATACTATTTACTATATTGTTTTACTTTTTACCTCAAATTGGTTATACTCAAATATATTTTCCAGACGGAAATGGACAATGAAACAATTTTTTTAATGTGACGCTTTACTCGTGAGTTGTTAAGGTAGTGAGCCGTTGCAAAACAAACGCTTATTGCCTATGATGGGGCAAAACGAATGTCCAAAATCAACCTATTGAAGATAGCGAGCATAAAATTTCATCTAATTTCAAGAATAAACGTGGGGTTTTGAATTACATACCTTATATTCAGAAAATTTAGCGAGGATTTAATTTTGGCATTATAAGCGAGGATTCTGAGATCGCTAAAATTAAATATCGCTAACATTTCATTCCGTATCGGTTGTTATTGTTATATCTCTAGACATTATAAAATCGCTAGAATTAGTTCTCGCTAACAGTATATACCATTTTTTGGGATAAATCGCTAAATTTGCGTCTGGCTAAAATTTTTACTCATACGGCACTTTGTACTGAGTAAAGTTTGTTTTAAATAAGAGTAGACAGAATTTCTTGTAATGCGTTTTATCAATCAAAAGTTTGTTTTAAATAAGACACAAAATTTTTGTTATGCGTTTTAATCAATTTTCGACTTTTGAAGCAAGCAGCAAGAGAAGAGAAAAAAAACCCTCCAGTTTTCATTTCTTTTAGTCAAGACATTTGTCTTGTTAAAAATTGCAGATATAATTTTTTTCCCTATGATCAACGTTGATCCTTTATATTTTTTTTTTACATGTTCAATAACAGGACATCTTTTTAGTTTGATTTAAGTGTACTCTTACGAAACTTATCTCTACTTCCACTTTGACTTTCTTTTTAGTTGTAAAAACATTACAATGCCTTAATAACTGCAATAATTGCTACATAGACTCAGAAAAAAAAGTCATGAAAACTGTTCAGCGTTTGGTTTCAATATTTATTTGTCACAACAAAGCTTTCAAATAAATAAATAAAATCAGAAAACAGTGCTTCTGTGCCACAATGCTCATTTGAGTCACAAGTATCATCAGCATGGTTGTGATGACTGCATAATAAACAATTTGTTCTATATTCTTAAATGAATCTCTGCTTGATTAGGGGTTACTCGTGTATCTGGATAAATTGACTGAACATTCAAAACCATCAAAGTTTCATTTTCTAAGTCAGACTGGATTAGCTGATATCCTGAGAGCTCCGTACAAATATTGGCAGCTACATTAAGGAACTGTGCCATTTCGTGACTAGGCCAGCTATACTAACCTTTGTAGTCAGGAAGTTAAAAATATTAATTTACACCTAATGTAGACATAACATAAAGACACGGTTTGATCAGAAAAGCCCATTTAATTATCTGGTTGAGATGAGTTTGAAAGGATAAATTTTATATCACGCTCCCTATATTTTTAAAAATAAATAGAAATATTCAATTTACGATATGCCGTGTGTACGCATGTTTTCATAGTACTAATCCAACAACGTGAGCCGTTTTAACGAAGAACCGTGCTCTGTATCATTCTTAAATGTATCATTATTGAATACATCCTTTACATTGCTGGAATCAGATCGAATCTCAAAGACTCCTGTACCCAATATGATATCAGGTTCAGTCTTAGAACTTTCTTCCATACGTCCATTCGATATACATATACAATCAGTATTCCTTGAGAACTTAACTCTCGACTCCTTGTTAGGGGTCCTTATTTTATTCACCTTCCCCGCATCTTCGTTTTCACTATTGCTACTTTGGCCTTCTTTAAACCTTGTATTCGTAGTCCCTCGGCTATTATCGGAACTACTATTGTGAAGAGGTTCATCTTCTGCTTCATTGAAACTCCTTGTCGCAGAAGTCACATTTGTTGATCTTCGCTGAATGATGCTCCCATTTCTGTATTTCATAATCTTCTGACGGCAGTATATAAAATTACAAAAAATACGACACAATGTACGTTTGAAACTCTGTCGGAATTTTTCGCTCATGACTGTGTAAATGAAGGGGTTGACACAACTGTTTATGAATCCAAATAAATGTGCACTCAGCATGGTGAAAACGAAATTAGATTTTTGGAGGAAATTTTCCGGCTGGAGGACAGAGACAACGCTGACTATATACATCGGGGACCAAGCAACGAAGAAAGCGATCGCCACAACTATAACCATCCGGGCAACCTGGAAAAAAAGAAATAAAAGGGATAGAGTTCAAGTAAACAGTAACTTAACAATACAATTTGTACAAATAAAAATCGCTCTAGACTATGGTGGATTGGTGATAACTACATGTCTGTGTCACAAATATAATTTCACGTGATTGAATCCTGTCTTTCGTTAACTACATGTCTGTGTCACTAAATGTTATTACACGTGATTGATTCCTGTCCTCCGTTTACTACATGTCTGTGTCTCTAATGTTATTACACGTGATTGAAACCTGTCTTCCGTTAACTACATGTCTGTGTCACTAATGTTATTACACGTGATTGATTCCTGTCTTCCGTTAACTACATGTCTGTGTCACTAATGTTATTACACGTAATTGAATCCTGTCTTTCGTTAACTACATGTCTGTGTCACTAATGTTATTACACGTGATTGATTCCTGTCTTCCGTTAACTACATGCCTGTGTCATTAATGTTATTACACGTGATTGAAACCTGTCTTCCGTTAACTACATGTCTGTGTCACTAATGGTATTACACGTGATTGATTCCTGTCTTCCGTTAACTACATGTCTGTGTCACTAATGGTATAACACGTGATTGAATCCTGTCTTCCGTTAACTACATGTCTGTGTCACTAATGGTATTACACGTAATTGAAACCTGTCTTCCGTTAACACCATGTCTGTGTCACTAATGGTATTACACGTAATTGAATCCCGTCTTTCGTTAACTACATGTCTGTGTCCATAATGTTATTACACGTGATTGAATCCTGTCTTTCGTTAACTACATGTCTGTGTCCATAATGTTATTAGACGTGATTGAATCCTGTCTTCCGTTAACTACATGTCTGTGTCACTAATGGTATTACACGTGATTGAATCCTGTCTTCCGTTAACTACATGTCTGTGTCACTAATGTTATTACACGTAATTGAATCCTGTCTTCCGTTAACTACATGTCTGTGTCACTAATGTTATTACACGTAATTGAATCCTGTCTTCCGTTTACTACATGCCTGTGTCACTAATGGTATTACACGTGATTGAATCCTGTCTTCCGTTAACTACATGTCTGTGTCACTAATGGTATTACACGTGATTGAATCCTGTCTTCCGTTAACTACATGTCTGTGTCACTAATGGTATTACACGTGATTGATTCCTGTCTTCCGTTAACTACATGCCTGTGTCATTAATGTTATTACACGTGATTGAACCCTGTCTTCCGTTAACTACATGTCTGTGTCATTAATGTTATTACACGTGATTGAATTGAATCCTGTCTTCCGTTAACTACATGTCTCTGTCACTAATAGTATTACATGTGATTGAACCCTGTCTTCCGTTAACTACATGTCTGTGTCACTAATGTTATTACACGTGATTGAATCCTGTCTTCCGTTAACTACATGTCTGTGTCACTTATGAAATAACATGTGATTGAAACCTGTCTTCCATTAACTACATGTCTGTGTCACTAATGTAATTACACGTGATTGAATCCTGTCTTCCGTTAACTACATGTCTGTGTCACTAATGTTATTACATGTGATTGAATCCTGTCTTCCGTTAACTACATGTCTGTGTCACTTATGAAATAACATGTGATTGAACCCTGTCTTCTGTTAACTACATGTCTGTGTCACTAATATAATTACACGTGATTGAACCCTGTCTTCCGTTAACTACATGTCTGTGTCATTAATGTTATAACATGTGATTGAACCCTGTCTTCCGTTAACTACATGTCTGTGTCACTAATGTTATTACACGCGATTGAATCCTGTCTTCCGTTAACTACATGTCTGTGTCCATAATGTTATTACACGTGATTGATTCCTGTCTTCCGTTAACTACATGTCTGTGTCACTAATGTAATTACACGTGATTGAACCCTGTCTTCCGTTAACTACATGTCTGTGTCATTAATGTTATAACACGTGATTGAATTCTGTCTTCCGTTAACTACATGTCTGTGTCATTAATGTTATTACACGTGATTGATTCCTGTCTTCCGTTAACTACATGTCTGTGTCACTAATGTAATTACACGTGATTGAACCCTGTCTTCCGTTAACTACATGTCTGTGTCACTAATGTAATTACACGTGATTGAACCCTGTCTTCCGTTAACTACATGTCTGTGTCATTAATGTTATTACACGTGATCGAATTGAATCCTGTCTTCCGTTAACTACATGTCTCTGTCACTAATAGTATTACATGTGATTGAACCCTGTCTTCCGTTAACTACATGTCTGTGTCACTTATGAAATAACATGTGATTGAAACCTGTCTTCCATTAACTACATGTCTGTGTCACTAATGTAATTACACGTGATTGAATCCTGTCTTCCGTTAACTACATGTCTGTGTCATTAATGTTATAACATGTGATTGAACCCTGTCTTCCGTTAACTACATGTCTGTGTCACTAATGTTATTACATGTGATTGAATCCTGTCTTCCGTTAACTACATGTCTGTGTCACTTATGAAATAACATGTGATTGAACCCTGTCTTCCGTTAACTACATGTCTGTGTCCATAATGTTTTTACACGTGATTGATTCCTGTCTTCCGTTAACTACATGTCTGTGTCACAAATATAATTTCACGTGATTGAATCCTGTCTTTCGTTAACTACATGTCTGTGTCACTAAATGTTATTACACGTGATTGATTCCTGTCCTCCGTTTACTACATGTCTGTGTCTCTAATGTTATTACACGTGATTGAAACCTGTCTTCCGTTAACTACATGTCTGTGTCACTAATGTTATTACACGTGATTGATTCCTGTCTTCCGTTAACTACATGTCTGTGTCACTAATGTTATTACACGTAATTGAATCCTGTCTTTCGTTAACTACATGTCTGTGTCACTAATGTTATTACACGTGATTGATTCCTGTCTTCCGTTAACTACATGCCTGTGTCATTAATGTTATTACACGTGATTGAAACCTGTCTTCCGTTAACTACATGTCTGTGTCACTAATGGTATTACACGTGATTGATTCCTGTCTTCCGTTAACTACATGTCTGTGTCACTAATGGTATAACACGTGATTGAATCCTGTCTTCCGTTAACTACATGTCTGTGTCACTAATGGTATTACACGTAATTGAAACCTGTCTTCCGTTAACACCATGTCTGTGTCACTAATGGTATTACACGTAATTGAATCCCGTCTTTCGTTAACTACATGTCTGTGTCCATAATGTTATTACACGTGATTGAATCCTGTCTTTCGTTAACTACATGTCTGTGTCCATAATGTTATTAGACGTGATTGAATCCTGTCTTCCGTTAACTACATGTCTGTGTCACTAATGGTATTACACGTGATTGAATCCTGTCTTCCGTTAACTACATGTCTGTGTCACTAATGTTATTACACGTAATTGAATCCTGTCTTCCGTTAACTACATGTCTGTGTCACTAATGTTATTACACGTAATTGAATCCTGTCTTCCGTTTACTACATGCCTGTGTCACTAATGGTATTACACGTGATTGAATCCTGTCTTCCGTTAACTACATGTCTGTGTCACTAATGGTATTACACGTGATTGAATCCTGTCTTCCGTTAACTACATGTCTGTGTCACTAATGGTATTACACGTGATTGATTCCTGTCTTCCGTTAACTACATGCCTGTGTCATTAATGTTATTACACGTGATTGAACCCTGTCTTCCGTTAACTACATGTCTGTGTCATTAATGTTATTACACGTGATTGAATTGAATCCTGTCTTCCGTTAACTACATGTCTCTGTCACTAATAGTATTACATGTGATTGAACCCTGTCTTCCGTTAACTACATGTCTGTGTCACTAATGTTATTACACGTGATTGAATCCTGTCTTCCGTTAACTACATGTCTGTGTCACTTATGAAATAACATGTGATTGAAACCTGTCTTCCATTAACTACATGTCTGTGTCACTAATGTAATTACACGTGATTGAATCCTGTCTTCCGTTAACTACATGTCTGTGTCACTAATGTTATTACATGTGATTGAATCCTGTCTTCCGTTAACTACATGTCTGTGTCACTTATGAAATAACATGTGATTGAACCCTGTCTTCTGTTAACTACATGTCTGTGTCACTAATATAATTACACGTGATTGAACCCTGTCTTCCGTTAACTACATGTCTGTGTCATTAATGTTATAACATGTGATTGAACCCTGTCTTCCGTTAACTACATGTCTGTGTCACTAATGTTATTACACGCGATTGAATCCTGTCTTCCGTTAACTACATGTCTGTGTCCATAATGTTATTACACGTGATTGATTCCTGTCTTCCGTTAACTACATGTCTGTGTCACTAATGTAATTACACGTGATTGAACCCTGTCTTCCGTTAACTACATGTCTGTGTCATTAATGTTATAACACGTGATTGAATTCTGTCTTCCGTTAACTACATGTCTGTGTCATTAATGTTATTACACGTGATTGATTCCTGTCTTCCGTTAACTACATGTCTGTGTCACTAATGTAATTACACGTGATTGAACCCTGTCTTCCGTTAACTACATGTCTGTGTCACTAATGTAATTACACGTGATTGAACCCTGTCTTCCGTTAACTACATGTCTGTGTCATTAATGTTATTACACGTGATCGAATTGAATCCTGTCTTCCGTTAACTACATGTCTCTGTCACTAATAGTATTACATGTGATTGAACCCTGTCTTCCGTTAACTACATGTCTGTGTCACTTATGAAATAACATGTGATTGAAACCTGTCTTCCATTAACTACATGTCTGTGTCACTAATGTAATTACACGTGATTGAATCCTGTCTTCCGTTAACTACATGTCTGTGTCATTAATGTTATAACATGTGATTGAACCCTGTCTTCCGTTAACTACATGTCTGTGTCACTAATGTTATTACATGTGATTGAATCCTGTCTTCCGTTAACTACATGTCTGTGTCACTTATGAAATAACATGTGATTGAACCCTGTCTTCTGTTAACTACATGTCTGTGTCACTAATATAATTACACGTGATTGAATCCTGTCTTCTGTTAACTACATGTCTGTGTCACTAATGAAATTACATTGATTAATCCTTCTTTCCTTTACTAATTGTTTCTGTCGATAATGTACATTGTAATTACACGTAATTGAACCCTGTCTTCCGTTAATCACATGTCTGTGTCATTAATGTTATAGCACGTGATTAAATCCTCTCTCCTCAACTATATTTTTGTGTCACTAATGTTGATACATGTGATTAAAGCCTACATTTTTACTTCAAGTTTGTATCACTTATGTTGATACATGTGATTAAATCCTACATCCTTTTATGTTTTACTAAAACAGATTACACAACAGGGCAAAACTCAACAGCTACACAAAATTTTTGAAGCGATGTGGCCAAAATATATTGCTTGTAATATTGTATTGTAATATTGAATGCTAATAATATAAAAGTAATTGCAGATTAACCAGCTTAGTGTCTTCGTAGTTTTCTATGCAAAACCAAACGCCTTTAGATTGCTTTAATTTGTCTGACAAAGCTGGGGGTATAAAAAAAGGCATTTTTTATCCCCCAATTTTGTCATTCGGATTAAAGCGATCTAAAGGTCTGTGGCAAAAACAATGTCGTAAACCTTTGCCATATTACACCGTGTTCGAAAGATGTTCATTGTAGGATTTATTTCTTTTTTTAAAAATTGGAAATAGCATGTTATCAGCTGCTGATCAGAAAATGAACTTGAAGTCCCAGTAAAGCTGTCACGTAAGTCAATTTACTGATTGACAAGTGACAAAAAAGAGAGAAAAAACTCTGTCGTAAACAGTACAAGAGGTAACGCTGATTGGAAAATCAATCATTTGTTGATTTCTTGTGAAAAGAATTCCGAGGACTACATCAGTCATCTAGTCTGCCTTCTCTTACAAAGACATTACCAAGACATTAAGACATCAATATTTTAAACTGGCTTTCATTTCTTTATTATTGTTCCATACCAATACTACACAGAAGGCCATGATGTAAACATACCTAAAAAAATGCATAATTGGAACAGTTTTACTACTTCAAACCTTATCTTTGGAATGAATTGATTTTGAAGAATTCCTAATAGTCTAATGAACATGTTATATTTTGAACCTCTTTATTGAGGCCCCGTCGTACAATGAAGTTTTTAATTAACGTATTTTTTTTTAAAAAAAAAGTAAACTGACCAACTTCGAAAATCCTTTTTCGTGTGTGTGTGTGTGTGTATGTGTGTGTGTGTGTGTGTGTGCGTGAGGGGGGGGGGGGTAGTTGGATCATTATCTAACTCTTTAGCATAATTTTTTTTCATTGTAAGTATTGACCAGAATTCGGTTAGACCTCACTTCAACAAAAGGGGGGGGGGGGCAAAGCAGCCTTTAGATGAAAATTTTCATATCAAAACTACAGCAAAAGACTATTCTAAATTTAAAAAAAATAGGGGTGGGGCTGTCTCTTCATCCCCCACCCCTGTACTACGGGCTTGTGTGTAAACTGGAATCTTCACTATATTAGAATGACTCCACGTAAGAGCTTAAAATCATATTTTCTGTTAAATTTTAGACCTTGATTGCTGATATCGTATTCAAGCTTACCGTAATTCATTGTGCACAATTAAGCTTAATTCTACTCCACTATTCATCAAAAATGTTAATTGACAAAGCGTAACAACTCTTTAAGAGATGTTTCCATGTATTCTTCTGCGTTACATTGGAGCATTTTTATGATCATTGGCTATTGTGATGGGATAAGATTTTCAGAAAAGAACACACGAGGATTATTGATTTTGAAACCTTCTGGGGTTGAACTGAAAAGTTACATTGCCTGTTACATTGTAAAAGTTTCACACTTATTAATTCCTTTTTTCTTCAATCCCAGCTGTGGAATTAAAAATAACGATTTCAGTTATCTGAATTATGGTCTGGTCAGATATGATGCGACTTTTGGTATCATTTGTTTGCTTTGTAGGGAATACATGTATGTTTTGTATATAAAGATATGATCGTAGGATTTTTAACACAACTCTGCATTAAGCAGAATTTATCATACATATTATTAAAATATGCACAATACATTTTTCTATCATTTGTGAATTAACACAACTTTAATTGTCATAAGGAAAAAATACCAATACACATAGTCAGTATTACGTTGTAAATCTCTTAAGTAGCTTTTATGTTCCTTGAAAGCAGGAAGAATTTAAGGAAGAATCTAAAAAAAATCATAGGAAGAATCAATGCAATCCCAATGCAATTATCATTTAAGGGGCAAATGACGAATAAAATAATAAGCACATATGTAAAGGAGCAATTTATGACTTTTTCCCAATGTTCATCATCTTGCATTTGTATACAGAGAAAGGATGACAGAATCATCTCCTTAAAATTAAAATTCTTCCTTATGCAATTCCAGTTTCTCCAATTAATTTGAAATCTTGAATGCTACAGTTTTTTTTTTTATTTTTATGTAGGCAGAAAATACGTAACAAGCAAAGCCTTACCTTTCTTTTATTTACTTCGTGGCGCCGTCTAGCGGCGGGGTCCTGTTTACAGGGTGCTGAGTTTCCCACGACAAACGGCCTGGTCAGACATATAGCAATTTTGGTGCATGTGACAACAATAATAGTCAGTGGGTTAAAATACATAACGATGAACAAAATGACGAAAAAGATTCTTCGGAAGTTCCCTGTTTGTCCGTCCAGTTCGTCAAAGCGATCAGTGCAGGTTTCTCTAGAAATAGATCCCAGCTCGCTGATTATTGTGAAAGGGTCTGACCGACTGAAACAGTAGGGTGTGGCCAAAATGGCTGGAATGATCCAAGTAGCTGCAATTATTCTTTTGGTCCGTGACTTGCTGTTTACTTTCATAGCGGATAAGGGATGGACGATGGCATAGTACCTGAAGAAAAATTAATGAAGTATAATATAAATGTGATGTTCAGAGGAATATTATGTACACTGAATTTTTTTTAAAGATTCTGGTGAAAATAATAAACACTTTTGAAATATTTATTCATTTTCATTATATTATTTAGGGGAAAACATTTTTACTTTTAAAAGGTTGACTTATTTGAATTCACCACATTATGAATCTTTAGGTATGTACAACAGGGTATATGGGATGCATCTATTAGTTACGGGAGAGGTAAGATCGAGTTGTTAGTAAGTGCTAGGGGACAACAAGACAGGTAGTGTCAGGTTTATTTCACAGACTCAGTATCAATTATTTTTTGTAGGAAAAGTAAGAAATCATTCACTTTTTTAACATCCACTGAACAATAACTTGAATTTTGTAACTTGTTTTAAAATGCAGCAAGGGATATTAGTAAGTATTTTAAAAATGATTGGCGTATGAAATATCAAAACTGGAAGCCAGAATTATTGAAAGATTTTGTCGTGCATTAAACGTTCTAAAAGTCTTTCATTTTATAAAACAGGTATTGACACTCCATGCAGTGCATACGGGCATAAAATACGGAGATAGCATAGGGATAGAGCTGGTTACAGTGTGATTTGGCGTCGGAAGCAGTGCGGAACTAAAGCCAAACAGGGAACCAGTTTACGACAAGAAGTACTCCCCATGTAGTCTTCCGCCAAAGTCGACTCTCCTTAATCAAATCGATGGCGTTAAAAATATTTCCAATTTTTTCCCCTCACAATTTCAATTCCTTTCTTTTCTCTCGTTTTCTCTAATACTGAGCGCAAAGAACTGTGTCTGTAAGATTGCGTCCCGACAAAGGCATCTTTAATGTCGTTCAACCACCTGCGTCAACTGTAGGTATCATGATCAATTTCGTCAGAAATGACTTGAGCAAGAGATATAATTCCTAAACATCCCCTCTGGTACGGCATATCAACACACGACATGGACTGAATTTTTATACAGAAATTATATGAAAACGTTCTGATTTTACAAGATTAATTTCTTGTGGGATTGTATCATTTATTGTGGATCCTGAGGAGAAAAAAGTCAGTTCAGTGTGCTTGGATTTTCTTACATAAAGTAATAGTTTTTACTTTCTCGTGTTCTGACTTTGTATTGACCACCGTAGCCCAGTGGTTAGGGTGTTCGCATTGCGACCGGGAGACTGATCGACTCTCGATCCCGGCGCCACATCGAGTCTAAGAACGTAGGTAATGGCTGTTCCTTCGCAAAGCACCCGGCATGTTATAGGTCTTACAATTATTTTTTTCAACCTGGTGTGTTTTAATTGTTGAAAGAAAGAATGCAATTGCACATTTTGAGTTGATAAATTAGGCAAAGTTGGTGGGGCTAATGAATATTCACAAATATCATATGAAAAACATAGATAAACTAGCGCTATAGTCGCCATTGTCATACAGAGAAGTAGGTTTATGAACTAATTTTAATTTGGTGAATCGTTTAATTATATTTAAAAAGGCAGTGTTGCATGGGTGGGTGGGATTGGGGGATGGGGGAGGTCTCAATTCGCCTTCAAGTCTGCAATGGCATCACTATGAATACATTCAATGTAATCAGGAAAGCGCGTAAGAATTGTGACATTCACTGTTATTTCTAATAGGGCTGGGACGATACAACTTTTTCTGTATCGATACGTATCACGATATTTGAGCCACGATACGATATGTATCACGATATGTTGAATTGGTTATAAAAAAATTTTTTTGTATTGAAATGAACGAAACATTTCTTCACAAATAAGATAAATTTATTTAAAGAAGTTGTATATCTGATGTAAATCAAAATCATTTTACATAAGTGTTATTAGTTATTATGTATTTCATATTTATATTTAGCATATTTATTTTATATATTTTACCCAAAATGTTAAGTAAACAAAGAAAAACATAAATCAGAATTTTTTTGACGATAATTCGATATTTCCCCATACGTATCGATATGCGTATCATCACCACACTGAATCGATATTATCGATATCTCGATATATCGTCCCAGCCCTAATTCCTAAAAAAGAGAAGTAAAATACAATGATATCAAGAGAGCGGTGTAACCAATGATCATTTTAGTGTAGTACTATTTTGTAGTTAAGAAAAACTAGGGGTTTTATATCAATACTTAGAAAATCACTGATTTCTGAGAGGCTGCAATCTTGACATAATATGGCATAAGTTTCACTTATTTGTGCCACAGGACGTTAGATTGCTTTAATACCACTGACAAAACTGGGGGTATAAAAAATAAGATGTGGACTCCTCAGAGAGGGTTTACTAATGTAACAAGAGCTACTATTGAACAAATTTTCCCGGAATGTATTACATATATGCACATAATTTTCAGAGTTTTAAGAATTAAACCACTGAAAGCGTTTTTGGTAACTTGATTAGACCACATGATCAAATCTGATAAAGTTTTGCAGGGACTTCGTAAGAATAATAATAAGCAAATTTTTAGAGAGTATACAATAAATTCCAGGAAAAATTCGCCCCGTTCGTTTCCTCTTTACAATTACACAATAGTTAATGATCAAAGGCCAAACCATCCAACTAGTAAAGAAAAAAAGGTGAATTCTGGAATTAATTTCAGCATATCTCGGGAAGTATACTGAATTTTGGAATGAACTTTGATAGTAATGTAGATTTTTATATGTGAAGAGATATGAGTAGAAAATATAATTTTAAATCATTTGATTTATTAGTCATTGGTTAAAGTGGGTATCCTATCTGAGGAGTTTCAAACCTTAATTTTTCCCGCCGTTTTGTCAAATTGTCGGTCGAATTAAAGCGATTTAAAGGCCTGTGATTCGTACAGTAAGACGATAAAACACGAAACTGAGATAAGAAACGGAGTGCCCTTCCGTGAAATATAGCATTCCTATTCCAGCACACGAGAGCGCTAGCAATAATCACCACTCTATGCGAAATCTCAGTCAGTGTGTGTCTGTCTGCTATATGCAGGACCATATTGTTGCTAAATATCTAAACACATTATTATACATCATTACTATTATTATCATCATTATTAAGCAGAAAACACACACCTTTGGACCATAATGATTTTTTTCTATTGTACCAGTGACTGTAACCGTGAATTTTAAAAGGATTCATTAATATTCAATAGATATGGGATGGATAATAGATAAACATGTATTTTACAATCATTACTTTCTCTGATGAACATTTACATTACGTCCCTTCGAGAATATTTCATTCATACAAGGACCCCACTTTTAGGGGGAAAATGAGGGTAGGAGTGGATGACATCAGATAGAACCCAATTTCTCAATTTAATAGATTTAATGTCAAATTCATCGAAGTTTATAAATATATTATATAGATATAGATATGTATAGACAGATATAGTTTATATTATATTTTTAAAAAGATTTATTGTAATGATAACATTTACAAAGACTATAAGATTTTATTAAAACAGGTCTAATTATTTTTGTTAAAATATGATCATTTAGAAGGGTTTAAGTAGTGATTAAAAGTAACTGCTAATTTGAATGAAGTGAATAATAAATGTATTTGTCAAGTTCTGGTTATTAAACAACAAGTATTTGCTGGAACAAAATAAGAATTCTTAAAGTGCATTTTAGTTTTAAATTGGGATATTTTTATAGTTTGGATAAAGATGTACATTTATATACTGTACAAAGTATGTAAAAACACATCAGCAGTGCAATCAGGTAATCCGGTGCTCTGTTTAAACAAGTGCCAAATTATGAAATAGTTGCAAAGATTAATGAATAGCATCTTAACGGGCATTAAACTGTTTCTCATTGGTTTGCTTTAGAGTAAACCAATGAGAAACAGTTTAATGCCCGTTAAGAACGGTATTTATTAAATGTGTAAACCAGTCTTTGATCACAAATGTCTTGGAAGCTATGATTAGATAATCACTAACATATAAATCAACGCCATTCTGTTTTAACCTTAAAGTACATCGTTACACTTATACTCTTAGTGCTCACTGTAGTATCGGAGGTACATAATATCACTACATTTAAAAAAAGTTCCGTGCAGCAGGAGTAGACGTACTGCAATCATGAATATCTGAAGCGTATGATTTTTCTTGGAAAAATTACTCAATAAAAATTGATAAAACTGCCTTTGTAAAATTAAGGTAAATAAGGTTTCCGTGACTATGTCTAATACGTGTAATCTATTATTTGTATTACACATTAAACAATACGCCTAGGAATTATTCTCGTTTTCGTCATTTCCAGCAAAGCAAAACAACTGCATATTTAAGACTCTGCACAAAAATGTTTTTTTTTAATTAATCAGAGAATAAAGCTCTGTTCAAGAAACACTATACACAACTAATCAAAGTAGGTTTACGCATCATCATGTATATGTATGTATTCAGATTGAAAATGGTAGTACTGTAGTTTTAAAAAGTTGCATGAAATTAATGCTGCATATTAAAAACAGCATCCCCCGACCAAACCTTAACCAAAAAAGAATGGTTAGGGTGTACAAAGAATTGCAGTTCTTCAAGTCTTTAACTGTTAACCAAACCAAATTTATTATGTGCAATTTAAGATACTCATAGGATGCTTGTAATAATCACCAATTAATATTGCCCAATGTTTCATAGTTCCAGCCATTTTACCATAACAAGTTACAGCTTTTTCAAAAATTCAATCACAACCTTAAATAGAAAAAGCGATATACACCTAACGGGCCGTATTACTATTGAGTACTGTAGTTCTTTGGCTCTGTACAGCTTCAGCTTTTTACACTGAGACATTAGCCCTACCATATAAACAAAGGGACAAAAAGAATAAACACCTATTTCAATGTTTGCATTCATGCAAAAAAAAAAAAATCCTTAAACCACAAAAATATAGAAAAACCTAATAATAATTGCTATAAAAAGTTAAAGCGTCAGTTTATATTTATTGCAAATTTCTTTTGGTTGTTTTGCCGATTTTTTAAAGATTATCTGAA